TGTTGTTGTGAAATATTCAAAAATGTTGAGAATGTTGATATAAGATGAATGAAAATCGATGTTATGTTTAGAGGCAGTATGTTAAAAATGAATATGGTTGTCGAAAAAAGATAGGTAATGGTACATGTGAACTTGCAAATGATTGAGTAAATTGGGAATGATTGTTGCTGCCATACATATATGGTTAATGTTATGAAAAAATAAGATGCATTTGGATGAAAATTGCTTAGAAAGGTTGAAATGGACACTTAATGATACAAATAAGTTGCCAATACACATAACGTAAAGAATTACACAAGTAAGAGATATGAATTCCATAGTAAATATATGTCAAAATGTACATGAATGTGTAAAGATTAAGTGAGAAAAAAAAGACGTTCTAGCATTATGTAAGTTATTAAAATGATGATGAATGTATTATTGAGAAAAGAAAGTGAGAATGATTAATACTAAGTACATTAAGCTTGGTTTATTTCTAGGAAGTGTGCAAGTGGGAAAGAGATATCGTGGTGATTAATTAAGGGAGGAAACGTAATTGGATAAGTGGTGAAGTGATATCTCGCCATTGAGAGGTGAGTAGGGGGTATCGATTTTAAAATCTCCGTACTATATATTGTTTTACGTTAATAAACGTTGTTGGTCTTCCTTAAGTGTATTTGTGGATAGCATGAGCTGTTAGCCTTAATAGGCCATTTTTAAAACAGATTTATAATGATTTATATATTGCTATTATGGACAGCACGAGTTGGTAGAAACCAAAGGAAATTGCGAATGCAAGTGCTTTTAAAGTGATTTGGGTATATCTATAGATAAGCTATATATGTAAAGAGTTTTAGAAACCAGGAAACAAGCCTTTCATGATGTTTGCATAAAAATCCGTGCCTTGTATTTTTTTGTGTATGATATGCATAGCTAAATGCATTTGTGAAATGATTTAAAGTGCAAGTTTAAGCACCAGTTTTATTCCAATCTTTGTACAAAGTGGTTACACCATGCCATTTAATGTGAAAAGCAATTTAAAGGATTATTGAACTTTGATTTCAAAAGATTTAAAGGTAAAGCCTTAGAAAACTTGATTTGGTTTCTAGAACAGTTTTGACAAACCGAGAGCATCGAGAGTAAGCCGAAGTCACATCGGGATGGTGTAACCCTTGTGTATAAGTGAGTTCTTGCTAGAGAACCTTTGAGTCACCGACAGGCTATTAGACATGGCTAGGGCCATAGCCTATGATATACGTGGCAAGACCATGGGTTGTTATATGTGGCTAGGCCATAAGTGGTATTTGTGGTTGCAACCGCTTTATTTCTCCGATGTCGGCCAACATCATCGAGACTACCATGGCTGTGGGGATCCGGTGGAATAGAGCTCCCGGATGTTATTACATGGAAGTGGGTCAACGGGTGATTACGATACTTACTTACTCAAGAACCCTGTGAGTTTTCGATGCATACTCTTTTGCATGATGGAGAGTTAAGATTTCTTTGCATGAGATGGTTTACATGAGATAAAAGCTTTTAGTGCTTTCTTGACAAGCATGAGATGGTTTACATGGCCATACACTTTGATTTCTTTACATGCCACACATTTTGGGAGCGTGCATACTTTATGTTGTTATTCATATTGTTATGGGAAGTAATGTTTTTTATGTTTGAACTCGGTTTCATTACATTTGTTTTCAGCACCGCTTTGCCAAGTGAAATATTGTAATGATGATTTTACAACTTTATTTTTACAAGGCACAAACACTCTACTAGTGATTTGATTTTTCTAAGATCACTATACTTATTCTTATTTTATCATTCAAATTTATCTACCTTATGCTTGTTTTTTGTCTATGCCCTACTCACGGAGCCAATGATCACTGAGTTTGTGAGACTCACCCCTTTATTTCCCTTTTGCAAATAGTGATCAGCTTAGACTGCAGTCATCGGCATTTTCAGTCCACCGCGGATGGGTAAAGGTATCTCATAACACTTTATTCTAAGTCACTCCGCTGTTAGAGGTCGAGTTGTCATAATGTAATTTGTTATGAAATTAGACAATAATGTCAATACGAATGTACATTTAGAGATTATAAGTCTTGATGTATTATTTTTACGATTATGTGGAATAAGGTTTAGTCAATTTATAAAGATTATTGTTCAATTCTTATTATAAAGAGTTTTATAGATCAAAGTAATTTCATAAATTAATGACATGAATATGAAGTAATAGCTAACGTTTTAAGTAAGGTTTCTTTGGGACTTGGCGAATTCTCCAACAAGACTCGGACGCTGGTAGCGATCGAGGAGTGGTCATTACACAATCTCTCTCTTAATCTCTCTCACCTCTACCTCTCTCTATAAAGACTATTAAAAAAAAAAGAGAAAAAGAAAACCTAGCAACAAAACAACAAAATCTTAAATTTTTTATCCTTACAAAAATTAAGAGAAAAGAAGACTCAAAATTCAAAACTGCTGTTTAAAGATTTTTTTCTTTTTTTCACCAAAAAAGATTTTAATATTAAATACATTGTTTCTTCTTTTCTCTTTTTTCTTAAGAATCATGGACTGATTGCTTGCTAAGTTAATAAAAATCTAATACTATTACTACTATATAAAGTTTGAGAGTGTTCTATTTTTGTATGGATTTTTTTTTATTTTAATTTCCGAAATTGTATATAAGCTCGAAGTAGATTTATTCCGCTTTGATTTATTAAGTAATTAAAGATGACATAAATATCTTTATGGTAATTTTAATCAAAATTATATCTTATATAATTTATTTCGTCAAATAGCTTATCAAACAACTTTAATTTAATTTTAAAAGTTATTATTTTTTATAAAAAAACATCATAATAGCTTTTAAGCTTGAAAAAAAAATGCTAAGCCAAATAGATTGTCACCACTCACAAGTCAAGCCTCAAACGCAGAATCAGTTTCAAGTTGCTCTTATATAATTTAGATTCCTTCCATGGATTCTTTAGAAAATCCCTTTGCTGTAATAAGATGGATGGGATAATTATGAACAGCTAGTAGCCTTTCCCTAATTGTTATCTAAATGCATACAATGACACTTAAACTGCAGGCAGTATTCTATCAGTTCGCTGGAAAACTGTAATCTACCTTGAATCTCAAATAGATATATTTCTACTGTTTATGCAGAATATCGACAGGTTCTATGGTAGTACCTAATTTCCAGTTTTAAGTATTTTCATGGATTACGTCTATGTCAGGTGTTATCCAATCCGCTTCTCGAGTAAATTGCATCGAAGCAAGCTGATAGAATTTGATCATTATTGCTTATGTTTATTGTTCCTGTGTTGTTGCCTGGAGTCCTGGACGAAGGAGCCCAACTTTATGGAGTTTGATGCTGTATTACAATTTCGGATTCACGATCTTCCATTGCGATTTCTTTTCCTGCAAGATGTGTGACCAGCACCTTGTGCTACACCATCCCGGTGATCTCTGAGGTTCAGCATAAGTTTCTATCTCTGGTTTTCCTTTTCTTCCCCTTGTTTTCACATCATTAAATCCAACATTTTATTAATTACACAGTTTTTAGCGGCATATCATGCGGAAATGGTGTTTATAACTTGCAAGTATTCTGATTGAAGGTTTTCAATTATTCCTTCAATTAGTTAGATCTCTTGTTTAAAATACTTACTCTCATCAAACTTGTGATTATCAGAAACTTAAACTAAAGTCATTTCCTTTTCACACAAGGAACAGATTAATCTAAATAGTTGATAAATTATGTTGTTTTACTTAGATATATCTAAATTTAACCAGAAAATTCACCCAATTCGAACCTGACTCTATTGCTCTTTGAGCAAAGCGTATGTATGAGTATAGTGGGGTTAGAGAGAGAATTGTCTTTATATCATCAATTCATTTCTAATGCAAAGATGCCTTTCATCATGCAAATTTGATTGCATGCGATCCAGTCTCATGCTTTTCATGCCTGCTCACAAATACCTTAAAACCATTCTCCTCCCTTACTTCTCAAATAGGTGAATCACTGTTATCATTTTTATCATCAATAAATTTTAGTATCATTTTATCTTCTGTGTCGCATTGTCAATTTTCAGTGTAATTCTGGATCAACAGATGGTCAGACCTCCTTGTTGTGACAAGCTGAATGTCAAAAAAGGCCTCTGGACTGAAGAGGAAGATGCAAAGATACTTGCCTACGTATCAAAACATGGAACTGGTAACTGGACTGCTGTTCCAAAAAAAGCAGGTTAATTATTGAAGTTTTATGATACTGATATCAGTTTGTAGTTTTTTTTTTTTTTTATTTTTGATAATTACTACTTTCTAGTTTCAATGCTACCCACTTTGTTTTTTCCCCATGGACTGAGTGCGTCCTCCAGGGCTTCGAAGATGTGGGAAGAGTTGCAGACTTAGGTGGACTAACTACTTGAGACCTGATCTTAAACGTGAGAGCTTCACCCCCCGGGAAGAGGAGTTGATCATTCGGCTTCATGCAGCTATTGGAAGCAGGTGGATTGGTTGATAGTGCTTTCCTTACCTCCACATTCCTTCTTGAAGTAATTAGATGAGTGAATGGTTTTTCTTCGTTTTCTTCAGCATTAAATCTTCTCTCCCCAATCCCCATGTTAAATTTGTAAGCTTCCGACTTCTTTAGTTTGTTCTACTTCTAAAACGTTCTCGTCAATATTCTAGTTTAGTTAACGAAGTGCTTTCTGTGGTTTTGGCTCTCCCCAATTAGCATGCAACACTAAAAATTGGACAAAACTCAGATAAATTAATTCCCAAAAGTGTGCCACATCTCATGGAAGTTTTTATGTTTCTGCTTTCTAATGGCATCATAAACAAACATCACTGTCGATGGTGCATGCCGGGTGATCCTAACTGTTCTAACAGGCTGTTTCTGTTACCGGTGCAAGACTTGTGACTCTCTTAATTTCTCTCTCTGTGTGTCCGTTTTTGTGGTCCAGGTGGTCTATCATAGCCCAACAACTTCCTGGGAGAACAGACAATGATGTCAAAAATTACTGGAATACTAAGCTGAGAAAGAAGCTTTCTGAAATGGGGATAGATCCAGTTACCCACAAGCCGTTTTCTCAAATCCTAGCTGATTATGGAAACATTGGTGGCCTCCCAAAATCTAGAACCCGAGTCGGATCTCTCAATAGAGACATGAAGAATGCATTTTTGTTCAAGGCTGAGCCATATCCATCCCCAGCACCAGCAGCAGCAGCAGAAGGATTGATGACCACAATTGCATCATCGGGGATGGAACCAATCCAGGACAACTTCTTTCCCAACAACAGCATTAACCATCATGCTGACAGTGATTCTTCGCTGGATCTTCTTTCTCAGCTGCAAGCTATAAAAGCACTAGTGACAGAAGCATCAAACTACACTGGTCACCAGACCATCTCACCTGATCAGTTCCCTAATGAATACTCATTATCGTCATCCCCCTCATCTTCTACTTGTTCTACTTGTTCGACCGCAGCACAACAAAATCAGCTCTAGCCTTCAGTTGGCGTGATTTTCTTCTTGAAGATGCATTTTTACCACCTGATCATCCACAAGGACAAGAAGATCACGTCCTGGAATTATCGTCCAGAGACTTTGCTGGCCACCAAACTCCAAACGTAGTACCACAAAGTCACAGCAACAATGAGATTAGTGCTGAACATATAGTGGATACTAATAATATTAACAATAACCACAATGGAGTCAAAGGCATGGATAGTGGGGTGCCAAGCTACGGTTTCCATGCTTCATCATCCACTGATGATAGTTCATTTATTGCAGCCATGCTAGATCAAGAAAATGAGATGTTCTCAGAATTCGCAAATCTTTTGGAAGATCCATGTTATTAACTCAGTTTTTTTTTTTCTAGGTCCATTATTTAGGCCAGAATAATCGACATTTTTTTAATATAAATGGAGTACCATTTTTAATACAAATATCGTATCATATTGCCTATGGTGCAGCTAGTATCATCAGTTGTGGTTTTATTCATGGCCAATGTTATGGCACTGGATTATCATTATTTGTCTCTTTGTTAAGGCTGCTGAATCTCTGTTATCAACTAAAATTCTAACTATCTTGGCCAGAAAAAGAAACAGATTTTAGCTAGGAATGTATTCCTTTGTTGTTTTCTTGTGCAGCCATAGCAGTTAATAGTTAAACTTAAGTCTCAGAATATAGTGTGATTGTAATTTTTTGGAAATAATGGTAAATTAATTTCTTTTTTTTTAACTTTATCAAGCAAGCGGGTAAAATAACATTACCTTGATTTTTAATCATTATTTAATTCACTCTGTTTATGTTAATTTTTTTACTTACCAAACATTGTAAAGTAACTTTACCACTCACATTATAAAAAATGTTAATAACTTCTCTTTTACTAGAAATAAAAACATAAGATATTAACAATTGTATGAGTAAATATGAATATGTCATAATTAATTAATCGTGTTTGAACCTTAAACATGTACAAATAGTTTTATTAACCATGTAACATGACACGATACAATTAACACATTCATTAAATATGTCAAATTTAAATTTTATACAACACAACATAATTAACATTTATACAATCTATAACTTGCTAATATGATTAACACAATTGATACAAACACAATTGAAACGATTAAATTTAAAATATGTACAATTAAAATATAATTCTTTTATTTAAATTTATAACAAAAAAAAATATAAATATTATAATATTTATCAAATATAATAAACTTCAATATTAATAAATTTTAATAATAATAAAAATATTAACATTTATATGAATTAATAAATAGATCTTAACTGTGTACTAAATATATCTACATGTCATGTGAATACAAAACTAAATTAATGAGAAATAAATATGTCACGGGTTATACGGATACATGATAACACTTTTAATTAATTATGTCTTATGCGGATTTAATCGAAGTAAATGAATTTGACATGGTTAAGATACAATTTACTCGTACATTAACTATACCAACACCACTAACCTAAATCTAAACTTACTTAAATCCGTATGGCCTTGTCGTGTGTATAAAAAATTATCAGGTCTCGGTCATAACCAATGCCTTGGCTTCTATTTGGTTTTTAGAAAAAGAGTTTGGTTAAGCAATTGATCTATGCCAAAGCGAGGCCCATTTGCCCTCTCAAAAAAGTGGGGGCCCATGAAAGTCATGTTGGGTTGGGTACGGGTATGACCGGAATACTTTGTGATTTTGCCACGGAAATGTCAAATGGGCAATCAAGACAGTTGATAACGTTCCGTTACCAGAAAAGCAGAGCGAAAAGCGGAGAAAACAGAGGGAAACGCCCACAAAATAAAACAATGGTGGCGATTTCTTTGTACAGAGGGAACCTCCACAGAGCACCTGCCATACCTCGGCGATGGCTAATGCCGACTCCCAAAATCTCTCTCAAAGACTTCAAATCTCTCTTGCACCGCCGGAACAAAGCTCTCTCTCGTCTCCGTTCCTCTTCTTCCTCCTCTAACCCTAACCCTAATCCCGCTTCGAGCTTAAAGCCTCACATTCAATACCCCAACCCCAATGGCCCTCCTATGGAGCCCAAATTGGAAGCGCAACTGGACCCGGAACCGGCCCAGGATTTGACAACTGGACCAACTTCCGCGGGGGTCAAGGTGGAGGTTGTTGGAGGATCCGACGGCGCAGATTGCTCGGTGAAGCAGGAAGATGAGCAGCCCGAGAAAGATGAGAGTTTGCAAGTGGATGAGAAATTGCCCGAGGAGACTAAAGCAAATGTAGAGGTATTTTTTCTTCTTTGATTTGATATTTTGTTAAACTTTTAAATTTTTGAATTCTCAATCGTAGAAGGTAGACAAATGGATAACATTAGTTGATTTGGAGTGCTTAGAAATCCCTATTTTTTCTCTCTTCATTTTTTGTGTATATGCAAAAGTTTCATTCTTGTTTGTTGAAATGTTCTTTATTTGTTTTTGATTGGTAGGTAAGCGAAAAAGTAAATGAGTTGAATGAAAAAGAGAAAAGGAAAAGGGATGTTGAGGAGAAATTACAAATTTTGAATGCAAAGAAGCATAATTTAGTACAAGTGCTTAAGCAGGTACACTTCCGTTAAATCTTCCTTTTGTTTCTAAGACTTGTGTTTTGGGTAAATGAGTTCCAAAATTTTTGTATGCAATTAATCGGTGATGTTTGATAGATCTTGAATGCCGAGGAGGAATTAAAGAGAAGAAATAGCCCACAAGGTATGGCCATTCGTCCAGCTGTTCCACTTCAAGTGGAAACTATGAATGACTCTGGGTCAATAACTAGGATTGTCACTCCCAGGATGGGCTCAGAGGCTAATCTTGCTGGTGAAAATGAAGTCGGTGAAGCTGATGATGTTTCAAATGCTAATGTCCATAATCGTCATGTGTTTCGGATGAGCAGTACATCACCATCTTCAGAATCTCCTCTTAAAAGGCCTACCTATATTCAACACAATGTGGTAATGTTCATCCCTCGCTAATATTATGTTATTCTAATAAAGTATTAATGCATGCTTAAGGTTGAACGCCCATAGATTTTTTTCATCATTTTGTTGTACTGTCAAATCTACTAGCCTGACCTACAAACCTAAATTTACTTGAATGTGTAGTTTGGTCTCTCTCCTCCATTGACTATATGTGCATGTGCATTTTGGTCAAGATCTGAACCTAAAATTTACCACAAATCCTCTTTCACCTCTTATCCACTTTAGGAAATTACCAATTGCATATTTTATGAATCACTCAAGCGCCTTTCGTGCGATGATTTGCAGATTTATAGAAAATTACTATATTAAATGCTCTGGATTTGCTTTGGGTAGACACTTTAAAATTTGTGTATGGCCAGCATCTGCATTTCCTGTGTCTCCAAACCATGCAGCCACACCCTGATAGTTGATTCTTGGCATCTCAGGAATATCTGTTATTACTCTTTGTAAATTACTGTTACAGCAGGTAATTTTCTACAAGCTAAATTCATGTACCATTTTATTGGCCTCTTTCTAGAGCTAGTGTCTCAGTTCATTTAGCTTTCAGCCATCCTCTCATGTTTCTTTTTCCATGGTTTGTCATCAGTGCTTCACTGTGTATCTCGAAAAGCCCCTTGGATGGAGATTTCCTTTTGATGGGACAACCATAAATTACACAAAGTCTCTATGGTTTCTCTCTCAGTGAAGCATATGAAGGGCTGCTGGGAAAACCAAATATATGACCCTTTTTCCTTGTACAGTCAGATCCTTCTAAGTTGTTTGATGTATGCCTTTTAGAGTTGACATTATCAGCATCAACTGTGGAAAAATCATAACAGCCAAGTAGTCTTAGTGCTTGTAACAGCCAAACAAGCTGCTTTCAGTTGTTAAGATTAATTACCCTCATCTGGTCATGGCTCAATATTAGCCTCTTTGTGTAGTCTAGAGCTTTCCAACATGCATATTTTAAATTAGGAAAATTAAATAACACGTGTTATGGCATTGTCACCTTTTTGTGTTTTGAGGGACTAACGCATTGTGTAGCTGTTAAATTGGGGCCCCATAGAAGAAGATAATAAGCATCAACTTCAAGATGTTCTGTTTCAGTTAATTCTGTGGCTAGGTTTGAAAAATAAAGTATTATGCTACTCTAGAGATATAAGGTATTATTTCCTACTGCCATATTATAACATTGTTTGGAGTTAACATTCAAGAAAAATGTGAAATTTGACTCGTTGATCTTCATTGAGGTGTACTAAAGTTGAATTATGTTGTGTCCTCATATATCAAATCACTTGTAAATGCCAGCTTAGTGCCTGAAACTTGTTAAGCTAAATTTTGGTTTCTGTGAAGTTTGATTGATGCATATAACCATGTCAAGTACGCTAACTCTTATATATAGGTTCCTCACCCCTCCCGAGCAAGCATGGGGGTCACAGGTAGTCCATCACGCTTTGCTCCTACTGGAAATCATGGTCATCCTGGGAATCCTCCTGCTGTATCTGTGTCTGGAACAAATTATGTTGCATCATCTCCATCCCCTGCAGCATCTGGTGGCACTTCAGTTTTCAGAGAGGCTCGGCAGCCAAGTCCATGGAATTAGAATCTGTAGGCCTTCAAACACTTCATGTGACTTGAGGCGCGAAGATGTGTATTGTGAGCATAGCAACATTCAGGTCCTTTTTGGTTGTTCCTGCACAGGCAAAATGAAAATACTGGTTTGCAATGTGATGTCATCTTATCAGGTCCAAGCAGATGCTGTCATATTCTGTATCTTCCTGTAACACTGTTGAGATGCTGCTTATACATGTCCTGCTCGGCTGGGAACTGTAAATTTTTAGAATGTAGAAGAGGCCAGGTCCTGAAACTCTAGATTTTTGTTTTCTTTTGAATTTTTTATTGTGAGGCCAGGAGGGAGTTGAATTTGTTAGAATAACTGAAATGTGATGGATCCATGGTTCTATGATCAATTTGTATATTTCAAGACCTTCCATGGTAGG